AAACATTCTTATAAAAGTCACTAAGCGCCCCCGAATCTCTTTCATATTTTTTATAAATGAGACACAAGAAGCCCTCGAGATTCTTCCACGTTTTTTATAAAAAAACCACTAGAAGCTCTCCTGATACTTTCACCTTTTCAATAAAAAAGAAAAAACATTAGGAGCCCCCGAGATTCTTACAGGTTCTTATAAAAATCGTTAAGAGCCCCTCGAGATCCCTTTACAATCTTTATATAAAAGACACTAGAATCTCTCGAAATTTTATTATATTCTTTATAAAAAAATATACTAGTAGCCCTCGTGATTCTTCCATTCTGAAAAAAAAATCACCAAGAGCCCCGGGAGTTTCTTTCATATTTTTTATAAATGAGACACAAGAAGCCCTCGAGATTCTTTCATATTTTTTATAAACAAGGCACTAGAAGCCCTGATTCTTTCACTTTCTCGATAAAAAAAAAACCTTAGGAGCCCCCGAAATTTTTTCACACTCTTCATATAATAAGAGACTATTTTTTTATAAATGAGATATAAGAAACCCACGACATTTTTGCAAATTCTTATAAAATTCACTAGGGGCCAAAGAAATTCTTCCATGTTTTCAAAAAAAAAAAAAAAAAAATACTAAGAGCCCCCGAGATTCTTTTATATTCTTTATATAAAAAAAGACCACAAGCCCCCCAAAGTCTTGCACATTTTTTATAAAAAAGACAAGAAACCCTCGACGTTCTTACACGTTCTTACAAAAATCGTTAGGAGCCCTTCGAGATTCGTTTGCATTTTTTATAAAAAAGACACTAGAAACACTTGTGATCCTTCCGCATTCTGAAAAGAAAAAAAAGCACTAGGAGTCCTCGAGTTTCTTCCATATTTTTATAAATCATACACATGAAGTTCTAGAGATTTTTCCACACTTTTTATAAAAAAGTCACTAGAAGTCCTCGTGATTCATTCACATTCTCAATAAAAAAGAAAAAACATTAGGAGCCCCCGAAATTTTTTTACACTCTTTATATGAAAAGAGATATTTTTTTAAAAATGATATATAAGAAGCCCCCGACATTTTTACACATTCTTATAAAAGTCACTAAAAGCCCCCGAGTTTCTTTCATATTTTTTATAAATGAGACACAAGAAGCCCTCGAGATTCTTCCATATTTTTTATAAAAAAGGCACTAGAAGCCCTCCTGATTCTTTCACTTTCTCGATAAAAAAAAAACCTTAGGAGCGCCCGAAATTTTCTCACACTCTTCATATAATAAGAGACTATTTTTTTTTTTAAATGAGATAGAAGAAACCCACGACATTTTTACAAATTCTTATAAAATTCACTAGGGGCCAAAGACATCCTTCCATGTTCTCAAAAACAAAAATACTAGGAACCCCCGAGATTCTTTTATATTCTTTATATAAAAAGAGACCACAAGCCCCCCAAAGTCTTGCACATTTTTTATAAAAAAGATAAGAAACCCCCGACATTCTTACACGTTCTTACAAAAATCGCTAGGAGCCCTTCGAGATTCTTTTGCATTTTTTATAGAAAAGACACTAGAAACACTTGTGATTCTTCCACATTCTGAAAAAAAATACTAGGAGTCCCCGAGTTTCTTCCAAATTTTTTATAGAAAAGGCACTAGAAGTCCTCGTGATTCATTCACATTCTCAATAAAAAAGAAAAAAACATTAGGAGCCCCCGAAATTTTTTTCCACTCTTTATATGAAAAGAGACATTTTTTTATAAATGATATACAAGAAGCCCCCGACATTTTTACGCATTCTTATAAAACTCACTAAAAGTCCCCGAGTTTCTTTCATATTTTTTATAATTGAGACACAAGAAACCCTCGAGATTCTTGCAAGTTCTGATAAAAATCGTTAAGAGAGATTTTTTTACAATCTTTATATGAAAGACAATAGAATCCGTCGAAATTCTGTTACATTCTTTATAAAAATTTACACTAGTAGCCCTCGTGATTCTTTAATATTCTGGAAAAAAAAATCACTAATAAGAGCCCCCGAGTTTCTTCCATATTTTTTATAAATGTGACACAAGAAGCACTCGAGATTCTTCCACATTTTTTATAAAAGAGACACTAGAATATAAAAAGAGACTATTTTTTATAAATGAGATTCAAGAAATTGCCGACATGTTTACAAATTCTTATAGTCACTAGGGGTCCACGAGATTCTTTTACAATCTTTATAAAAAAAGACACTAGAAGCCCCCGAGATTATTTCACTTCTTTATAAAAAAAGACAGTAGAAGCCCTCGTGATCATTCCACATTCTTTATAAAAAAAAACACTAGAATCCTTCGCGATTCTCTCACATTCTCAATAACAACAAAAAAACATTAGGAGCCCCCGAAATTTTTTCACATTTTTTATATAAAAAGGGATTATTTTTTTATAAACGAAATACAAGAATTTTTACACATTCTTATAAAAGTCACTAGGGGCTCCCGAGATTCTTTTACAATCTTTATAAAAATATACACTAGCCCCCTCGTAATTCTTCCACATTCTCAAAAAAAAAAAAAAAAAATACTAGGAGTCCCCGACTTTCTTCCATATTTCTTAGAAAAGTCACTAGGGGCTCCCGGGATTCTTTTACAATCTTTATAAAAAAATATTAGAAGCCCCCGAACTTCCACATTCTTATAAAAATCATTAGGGGCATCCAAGTTTCTTCTATATTAAAAAAAAAAACTCTAGATGCCCCAGCCATTCTTTCACATTTTTTATAAAAAAAGACACTTGTAACCCTCGAGAGTCTTTCGTATTAAACAAATACATTAGAAAACTTCGAGATTTTTTCACGTTTTTTATAAAAAAGACACTAGATTAAACAGAACAAGGACGAACATTTATAAAAATCATGATAAAGAAAAGGGTAATGGCTATTCGAAAAATCCGATTTATATGATTTTTGTTAAATACGAGAACAGGAAAAGCTAGAAGACGTAACAGAAAAGTTTCGAGATAAAAAAAAAGAAAAATATTTACAGAAAGTGAAGCGACAAAAAACCACAAATGAAATTATTTTCCAAATTATCAACTAAACGACCTTTTAGAAGTTTATAGAAGTAAAATAATAATGACAATTAAAAGTTTAATAACGAAAACAACATTATTTAAAAAATCCGAAATATACGACTGAAAAATCTGGATTTTCATTTGAAAAACAAACATCAAGAAGAACAAACACGAACATTTGGAACAGGAGAAATTATTACCAGAATATGTAATAAAAATCTTCAAGATAAAAAAAAACTAATAAAATAAATAACCAACCGAAACGGAAGCCATAGTACAAAAAGGTCACGTAATTGTACACCAGGATATTCCATCAAACACAACATTTTTGTTTTTTTTTGTTTTTTTAATAAAAAACCGGCATAATTTTCATCGAAAAACACAATTAACGCTAAAACTAAATTATATAACACACAAAATTCGCTTTTGTGCCCGAATTATCGATCACCGCCCGCAAGCCGCTTCCATAATTTGGCGACAATTCCCCATTCCTGCCACGTCCCGGCCCCGCATATACAGGGTGTAATTTTCACTCGACCTCGCCCCCTCCCACATTCTCCGTCCGCATTTACATTAAAGCCATTCTTAACTCTGTTTACACTCCAACAAATTAATACTTCCACTCATCGAACGACAGATTCAATTTTAGAGAAGCAAACGCTCCCAGCACTGACAGCTTGACAGCCGCCAGCCAATATAGCTAATTCCGTTCGTAAACATAGACAAATCCCGTTTTTACAGCGCCACGAGAAAGATTATTTGACGCTGGACGTACTGTAATTACGTCATCAGCGGTCCGAAGGGGGTGCTAAACGCATTTAGATAATGTGAAATTTTAAATAAGTCCCTCGACGAGCACAAAAAGACAAAAACGAAATCAGACGAACTTTTAAGCTTTGCTCGTTACGTCGAGGTTAATATAAAGCTGAAACGGAGACTCATTTCCGGCGGAAAAAATTAGCGACAAATCCGGGTTCGGCGCGGGTTACTGTCAGATTCAAATTTAATTTTTGAGTGGGACTGGAAACGCAATAAATATAATTAATTCTGTGGCGTTTCGGGCGATTACCATAGAAAGCGCGATTCGGGCTGGAATGCCGATTCGGGGTTTATTATCGCGTCAAACCACTTGTCCGTTGGCTTAAGAATTTTTGCTTAAGGGGATTCTTTCGCTGGGTTAGGGTTTCAGGCGGGATCGAGGGGGGAGATAACAATAGTTATTTAAATACGATCTGAGTTGGCTTATCTCGAGCGGCTGAATTTTTTTAATCGAATTCTACAATTCTACGAACGTAGTGAAATTAAATATTCATCACATAGTGGATGTTATTGAATTTTAACTTTTTTTTTTTTCAGTTAAGTATTTCCGCGGTCGATACTTTCCTGGGCTTGCATTTTAATTCATCTTAATCGCATTTTTATCGATTATCGCAATTCAAGATGAATTTATTTCGGAACTTGAAACTAACCCAGATTTCGCCAAAACCCATCCATACATTATTTCCGAATCGATCCATCGCGATGAAAAATTCACGACATAAACAGGATTTGTCCGAGCGATAACAGACTTTACTCTGATATCGGAAGTGATACAACGATCGAGCTCCAATTATCAAAACCCTCGACCCGTCCGCCGCCTCGACCGCAAGCAAAATTCGCCCAACCGGACCCAGCCGCCAAATTAAATATTTGATCTCAACAAGCCCAAATCGTGTTTCGTTTCGGATCGATTTTCGGTCCATATTTCAGGCGCTCTCGCGAGATAGTTTTTCAGGTGCGAGTGTTTCAGCGAAAATTCAGACAGGATTTCTATAAATAACGGACATCAGCTGATTGTGTGTTATTTTTAAAAGCCACAAAATTGATCCGGTTTGAAATGGGCTGGTTTAGGCGCCGAAATCGGACGCGAGTTTTCGGGGAAATTCCCGAAAAGGGGCCAAAGCGCCGGGGAAAATCGACAAAGCTTACCATGCGGTCGGAAACTTGGGCAAAAAAAAAGCTGATGTCACACGTCGTATTTGCGGAATGAGGACGCGTGTGCTGGGTCTTCAGAACGCGGACGCTGACTGACGCTCGGCGTCGTGACGTTTCCGAACTTTTGAAGCCGGCGTCCAGCGCAAGCGTCCAGGTGGGATCCAAAATTTTACACTTTCAAAACCAAATTCAATTTCTAATGTACATATAATACAAAAATCATGATTTACGTAGTCAATGTTATTCAAATTTTATGAAATAACATATTCCGCTGCAGCTTGTATTTTTTATAAAGTGGTCGTAAGCAGTCCAGTGTTTGACGTACTCAAAACCGTGTATAAACACAGTTTATTCTCCCCCTTCGAGCTCAACAACTCCAAAATGCACACTCTCCTTTGTACCTCGCCTGTTCATCCCATTTCCCCCCGACTTTTTCTCTTGTCTGAAGCGCAAACATTTTGTAATTCGGCTATAAAAAGTTTACGATAGAGCAAAAGCGGCGTCGCTATCGATCTTAGTCTTGGCGCTTTTTGTACTCCGAAAAAAAAGAATCCAATTCCTAATGTCCGTTATTCCATTAATGAAAACGCGCCTGAATGGGGACACCTTGCATTCTAGCACGGTCGCTGGGTTTGGTCTTGAATGCGTGCACTTTCTTCAGCGGGACCTTGGACGTATACTTGTATCTTGCAGCTGATGGACTTTGGTAATACACCAGGCGCCGGTTTCGACGTACCTGAAAAATGTCGCGAATAATTGGGTGTCGCTCGTGGGAGGGGATGTAGCGCAGTCATTTGTTTAGCTGTTGCAACACGTGTGATGGATTTCCACTGTTGGTTTGATGTTGTGAGCGAAATGTAAATCAGTGGATCGATAGTGAAGATTGTCGGAGAACGCTCGTTGATTAAACTGACATTTGTTGTTTTTATGATTCACGATTCCGATATTCCTGTTCACTGTGATTACATAATCTACATGAATTACATCAGAATGTGTGTGTTCTGAATATTACCGTGAATTACGAATGCGGCTTTACTAATCCGCTATTTATTTAGCGGTTTCGTTAAATTGTAGAGGAAATTTTCCGATTTTACGTTAATGATTTGCATTTTATTTTGAAATCAATTACAGTGTTGTTGTTCTAATAAAAGTAAAAGTTGAATAATTTAGTGTTACAGTGAGATACATTTTGACCTCAAATGTTGTTATTCAAATTAATGCAAGTTTTGCGGCATTTTGCACTATAATAGATACACAAGTAAAAGCCTTGCGGTGTTGGATTTAAGCAACCATCGACTTTGAATTTAAAGTTAAAATATATGCGAGGACAGTGTCGTGACAATGGTTCGACTGTGCAAAAAATGTACTTGTGGACAAATAAAAAATAATTTTGAAGAAATTAGGTCAATGTTTCTTCTAATTTACCAATTTCTGGAAGTTTCCATTGTGTAACTAAAATCAATATTTTTCACTAGTAGCGGAGAATTGCACCATTATCATGCTTGTCTGAGAGTTGTGAATTCGTTTTTCTCTACCAAAGTCAATAATGAGAATTAAATTTCTCCAAGGTTAATAATGGAAGTGAAATTATTATTAACCAAGGTCAATAATAAAGCATGAGGTATGTAATGCTTGACAAACGAAAACTATTACCAGATACCTAGAAAATTCGTTCTAAACAAAAAAATTATAAAATTTTTCATTTTTCACATTTTTCAAGTTTTTTGATTTATTTTTCCTAAAAAAAAACTTTGATTTTTTCGGACATAACCCCGTGAAAACGGGAGTAGGCCGAATTTGCGTTCTTTTTTTTTTAATTAAAAAGAAACATTTTTAACTCGATTTTTAACTTTTTTAATTTAAGAACTATTTATACATTAAAATTATTTTAAATCTTTTAAATTTTATAATGTTTCATACTTAATTTGTAACTTTCGATTTTTTAGACGCTTATTGAACAAACAATTTATTTCGTTTTATTGGCGTTTAAATAATTTACATATTCTATATTTATTTGAATTTGAAAAATTACTGTCTGGAATTACACTGCTGATTTTGTTCTTGAAAATCGATCACTTAAATTATTTACAGCTTTATTGTAACTCTCTTCTCGTGAAAACCTAAATAAATCAAGTATGAAATATTGTAAAATTACAGATTTAAAATAATTTTACTGTATAAATAGAGTTTTTAAAATAAAAAAGTTAAAAATCAAAAAAAGTTTTTTTTAGGGAAGAAAATAAAAAATCAAAAATGTCGGACTTTGAGAAAGTGACAGTTTTTTTCAAAAAATTGAAAAATCTTAGAACCTCACGTCAAATTTTTTTTTTCAATTTTTTCCCAAAAAGTACATTTAAAGACAAAAATTTTGAAAAAAAAACGTCCCGATAGCTCGATTTTTGAAAAAGTTATAGTTTTTTTGAAAAAAGAAGAGCCATTTGTTTTTTAATTTATATATTTTTTTTGTTGGGTAAAAAAATTTGAAAAAATTCTCAGAATCGTATTTAGTGGGGTAGAAAAAAATATAAAAATTTCAGCAAAATTGAAAGAGGTCGGTAGTGAAGAACGTTATATGTAGATCTCACTCGCTCTAATCTGCATTCGGTCTATAATGCTTGTCTTCACTACCTTGGCGTATAATATATTATTCTTACAACCTGTTACAAGAGTACTTTACATTAATTATTATGCATGGATAGTTGGCTACGTTCTAGAATTTCGGAGACCTCTTGTACCTGGTTTTTTAAATACTTTGAAATAATCCCGGGACACTTTTTGTTTTGTTTTTGGAGTAGTTTAAAAGAATATTGGGGACCACTTTTATATTATTTTTTAAGTAATTTGAAAGAATTTCGGGGACTACTTGTGTCCGGTTTTTGAAGTAATTTGAAAGAATTTCAGGGACCACTTTTGTTTTGATTTTGAAATGGTTTGAAAGAATCTCGTGGACCTCTTGTATCTGATTTTTGAAGTAGTTTAAATAATCTCGGGGACCTTCTGTGTCTGGTTTTTGAAGTAGTTTGAAAGAATCTCGGGGATCTCCTTTGTCGGGTTTTTGAAGTAGTTTGAAAGAATCTCGGGGATCTCCTTTGTCTGGTTTTTGAAGTAGTTTGAAAGAATCTCTGGGGCCACTTTTATTTTGATCTTGAAGTGGTTTAAAAGACTCTCGGCGACACTTTTGTCTGGTTTTTAAAGTAGTTTGAAAGAATCTGGGGCACTTCTATTATCTGGTTTTTGAAGTATTTTGAAAGGATCTCAGGGACTTCTTGTATCTGGTTTTTGAAATAGTTTGAAACAATCTCAGGGACTTCTTGTAACTGGTTTTTGAAGAAGTTTGAAAGAATCTCGGGGACTTCTTTTGTTTGGTTTTAAAGTGGTTTGAAAGAATCTCTGGTACCACTTTTGTTTTGATTTTGAAGTGCTTTGAAAGAATTTCGGGGACCTTGCGTGGCTGGTTTTTGAAGTAATTTGAAATAATCTCTGGAACCACTTTTGTTTTGATTTTGAACTGTTTTGAACGAATCTCAGGGATCTCCTGCGTCTAGTTTTTGAAGTAGTTTAAAAGAATTTCGGTTACTCCTTCTGGCTGGTTTTTGAAGTAGTTTGAAAGAATCTCAGGGACTTCTTGTATCTGGTTTTTGAAATAGTTTGAAACAATCTCAGGGACTTCTTGTAACTGGTTTTTGAAGTAGTTTGAAAGAATCTTGGGAATCCGCTGCGTCTGTTTTTTGAAGAAGTTTGAAAGGATCTCGGGGACTCTTTTTATTTGTTTTTGAAGTGGTTTGAAAGAATCTCTGGAACCTTTTCAGTCTGGGTTTTGAAGTAGTTTGAAAGAATTTCTGGGATCTCCTGTGTCTGGTTTTTGAAGTAGTTTAAAAGAATCTCTGGGATCTCCTGTGTCTGGTTTTTGAAGTAGTTTGAAAGAATCTCGTGGAGTGTTTTTGTTTGGTTTTGAAGTGGTTTGAAAGAATCTCTTGAAGTCTTTTTGTTTGGTTTTCAAGTGGTTTGAAAGAATTTCTGCAACCTTTTGTATTTGGATTTTGAAGTAGTTTGAAAGAATCTTGGGGCCTCTTTTATGTTTGGTTTTTAAGTGGTTTGAAAGAATCTCTGGAACCTCTTCAGTCTGGATTTTGAAGTAGTTTAAAAGAATCTCTGGAATCTCCTGTGTCTAGTTTTGAAGTGGTTTGAAAGAATCCCTTGAAGTCTTTTTGTTTGGTTTTCAAGTGGTTTGAAAGAATTTCTGCAACCTCTTGTATCTGGATTTTGAAGTAGTTTGAAAGAATCTCGGGGCCTCTTTTTTGTTTGGTTTTGAAGTGGTTTGAAAGAATCTCTTGAAGTCTTCTTGTTTGGTTTTCAAGTGGTTTGAAAGAATCTCTGCAACCTCTTGTATCTGGATTTTGAAGTAGTTTGAAAGAATCTCGGGGCCTCTTTTTTGTTTGGTTTTGAAGTGGTTTGAAAGAATCTCTGGAACCTCTTCTGTCTGGATTTTGAAGTAGTTTGAAAAATTTTCTGGGATCTCCTGTGTCTGGTTTTTGAAGTAGTTTGAAAGAATCTCAGAGAGCGTTTTTGTTTGATTTTGAAATGGTTTGAAAGAATCTCTTGAAATCTTTTTGTTTGGTTTTCAAGTGGTTTGAAAGAATCTCTGCAACCTCTTGTATCTGGATTTTGAAGTAGTTAGAAAGAATCTCGGGGCCTCTTTTTTGTTTGGTTTTGAAGTGGTTTGAAAGAATCTCTGAAACTTCTTCTGTCTGGATTTTAAAGTAGTTTCAAAGAATCTCTGGGATCTCCTGTGTCTAGTTTTGAAGTGGTTTGAAAGAATCCCTTGAAGTCTTTTTGTTTGGTTTTCAAGTGGTTTGAAAGAATTTCTGCAACCTCTTGTATCTGGATTTTGAAGTAGTTTGAAAGAATCTCGGGGCCTCTTTTTTGTTTGGTTTTGAAGTGGTTTGAAAGAATCTCTTGAAGTCTTCTTGTTTGGTTTTCAAGTGGTTTGAAAGAATCTCTGCAACCTCTTGTATCTGGATTTTGAATTAGTTTGAAAGAATCTCGGGGCCTCTTTTTTGTTTGGTTTTGAAGTGGTTTGAAACAATCTCTGGAACCTCTTCTGTCTCGATTTTGAAGTAGTTTGAAAGAAACTTGGGGATCTTTTGTGCCTGGTTTTTGAAGTAGTCTGAAAATATCCCGGGGACTCATAGTGTTTGGATTTTAAAGTAGTTTGAAAGAAGTTTGAAAGAATCTCGGGGACCACTTGTGGCTGGTTTATCCTCAGGATTCTTAATTATTTTTGGTTGGTAAAATAGTTAGAAAAATATTTAGAGTACGGTTCTTAAAGGTGGCAACAATTAATACAATTTTTAATGCTAAAAAAGTAACTTTCTTTTTTAAAGGGTCGCCACAATAATTTGAAAAAAAAACCATGATCTTTCAAAATATTTAAAATAAAAAAGAAATTTAAAAGTCTTATAAATTAAAAAAAATGTTCCACTACGTAATTCTAACTTTATCTACAAAAGCAACTTTTTCGCTCTCTTCTGTTTTATTTTTAGAAGTAATAAAAAACAGTTTGTTTTACTCGATAGAACTTCCCTCGCCTCTGAAGTACATACAATAAATTAAAAAATAAAGATAAAATTTGACTTTGCGATTGTTTTTTTATTACTACCTTATGAATAATATATAAAAATATGAATGTATTGACAAACCACAAGAATAGACTCAAAATGTTTTGTACATTTTACTGGGACCATTAGCTATAAAATATTGTTTTTTTTTGCAAAACTCTGGATGTCTAAGACTTGAAAAATTTCTTGTTTTCAAACCGAATATTTGTAAATCTAGAACCGGAAACATAAAGACGCCAATTTTTTGAGAATTCTTTGGCAACTTTTTCAATAGCATAATTAAAAAAAAAAAATCGGCCGATTTCCGACATTTTATTATAGATTTTGACCTCTAGAAGTTGGTTTTGGCCTCGTTTTATCGTTAGCATTTTTCTAGAATCACCCAATAAAATATTGTAATTTTTTGAACTTAAAAAAATATAAATACTTTCTCATAAGAAATATTTTCATATCTTGCACCAGGAGCATATTTTCGGTATCAGCACGGTGAAATCTATCTCCCAGAATTTTTTGGGAATTTTTTGCCAACTTTTCCAAAACAGAAATTTTTCAAAAACATTTTTTGGCCAATTTCCTATAATATTTGAAATTTAACTAAAGCCATTTTTTTACAGATTTCGAATTCCAGAATTCTTCTCTTAAAAAAAATATACATTTCCAAAACGAATATTTTTAATCTGTTTCCCAGAATTTTTAGAGAATTTTTTGTCGATTTTTTCAAAAGCAAAATTTTTCAAAAATTTTTGGAAAATTTCGGGCAATTTCAGATAATATTCGAAATTTAACGAAAGATATTTTGTCATATTTAGATTTCGACCTTCAGAACTTAATTTCAACCTGATTTCTTCGATATCTAAGATATTGCAATTTTTTGGAATTAAAAAAAAATATATTTTCAAACCGAATATTTTTAAATCTTGCCGTGAGAACATAAACACGCAATGTGTTTGGAATAAGCACCAAGAAATCAATATGCCAGAATTTTTTGGGAATTTTACTTTTCCAAAACCAAAATTTTTCAAAAATTTCGCAATTTTCCTACAAATTGACTACACATTTTGTTATAAATTTCTATTATCAGAAGTTAGTTTTGACCATATGCCTTCGATTGCGGCTCCTACCATTTTTCCAAAATTTCCCTCTAAACAATTTTTTGGATTCAAATTTCAAACCGAATCCACCCCTGCGTCCAAGTACCAACTTCAAACTAAAAAAACTGCGATGTGCGGCAAAAACTGTTTCAATCTTCATTTATTTTTCCTATCTTGTGAAATACATAATTAATAAAAAAACAGATTTATCTCTTCAAAGAACTTCAGCCAAAACAATCTTAAAACTTCAATTAAATTTTTTATCGCATTCCCCCATTAGTGATTATTTTTTTCCAAAAAAAGTCTCCACCACCCTGACAAAAATCTCTCCGCCCGCACGCAATCCTCGCCCTTACGAAACAACCCATTAAGCAATCTTGCCCATCCTCACGCCGCGCAAATTCCCGCAATCTTCGCCATTATTTCCTTTTCCTTTGTTGCACCAACAATCCCATTTCACGCCGCGTATCGCGTCGCTTGCGCTTGTTTTTGTTTACTCTCGAAGGTGAACCAGTTGACAGTTGCCGCTCCGAGTGAGGTTATGTTATTTTTTCCTCCTCACCTTCATGTTCCATTATCATATCCGCACCGCAAATCTCAGTGATTGTGATAACTCTTATCAGTCGAAAGTACACAAGACGTCTTAACGGAATCATGACCACGTCGATAAAATGAAACGTAATCTCAAGACCCTGTTCAAGTTTCTGTTGCTGTCGGGGGTGACCGTCGTCTTCACCGTCCTCCTGTTTCGGATTTTTAAGATCAAGTCGACGTTCGAGGAGCGCAGGGGGCTGCCGGTGGAAGCCAACGAGGTGAGTGTCGGGGTGTTTTTACGAGTTTTAATCGCTTGCAACAGGTTAGGATCATCCGGAGCGAGAGAATTGATTGGCATGATTATGAGACGATAAGGAAGGATGGGCTGCGGAGCGGTAATTAGTCCGGGGAGAGGTGAAGGGGTTTTATTGGTTTTTTTTAGGGACCGGGGAGCATGGGAAGCCCGCTTATTTGAGCGCTGCTGAGTCCAAGAACTACGACAAGCTCTACAAAGTCAATGGGTTCAATGCTGCCTTAAGTGATAAAATCCCGCTGGACAGGGCGGTGCCTGATATACGCCACAAAGGGTAAAAATCACGTTGGTTAACACTGGTCTTTCTAACAAGAGCAAGGTTGAAAATAATTTACATAATTAAATTTCCTCCTTTAAATCCATTTTTCTTTAATAATGAAACTGTTTGTGCAAATATCGTACTAACAAAAGTGCTATTAGGGTCAAGTTTGCCAAAATCGCGCTTTTACTACGCTATTGTTTATCGGAATCTATTTTTTGTTGTTGTAATTTGTAACAAGAGAAAGTAGACCCAGTTATAAATATTCCACCTGACAGACCTTGACTGTTACATTTTCATAAAAATGTCACGCATGAATTGCTCGATCAAGCAAAAAATGCAATTATCTATTGGTAGGTCAGGAATGTTTTGCGGGGTTCTACAATGTGTTATTTTGTTTGAAGTACGAATTCGTGATGGTTCGCTGATAATTTGAAAATTTCCGGTCGTGCGTGTTTTTGTTGCACTTGCACAATTGTGACCTTTATGGTGCGCGGATTGTTGCCACACAAGTGATAAAGTGATAAAATCCCGGTCTTAGCTTAATTGCGCTTAAATTTGAATGAATTAAAAAGGATAGAATAGGCTTTAAAGGTCGAACGGTTGAGTGGAAAATGTCTGGTGTGTATGCAACCAGTAATACAGCGTCAGATTTAAATCGCCCTTTGCGCGTTCTTAATTATTTTTTTGTTGTGTTTTTGCGACAGATAATTAAATTTCGTTGGTTTAGAACTGTTGGAATAATGTGATTGGGCCCGCATTTGTCCCTTAAAACGAAACAAAGTTTAGGGTTTCCGGCGGCCCGCATCGCGCTTTCTTTTATTATCGCGGAAGTTTTTGCGTTTTTTTTTTTTTGAGGTAAATATCCCGGATTGACGAACGTTGTGTGACCTTCATCGTTTGACATATTGTTTCTCCTTTGACATTTCGGAAGGAATTTTCGAGGAAGCGATTTATCAGGTTCAAAATTTAATTGTCGATTCTAAAAAAACAACAAACTGTTGTCGTTTTTTAAATTTATGTCCTGGACTATTCGTTCTTGAGATTCCTTCGAACTGCGTTTTTATTAAATCTAACAATAACGTATCTGCAAAATTTTTTGCTCGAGATTCTTTAGCGAGCGAAGCGAGCTCTATTCATATTAAATTAATTTTACTCTTGGAAAAGCTGCAAAAAGTTTCCAAAAAATTCTGGAAAATGCAAGATTTAAAAATATTCGGTTTATGTTTTCAAAATTTGAATTGAAAAAATTGCAATAATGCAATGGGCTGTTCTGGAAAAATCGAAGCTATTGAGGAAATGAGATCGAAACTAATCCTGCAGGTCGAAATCTATAAGAAAATGTCTTTAGTTTCGTTATATTTCGAATATTATAGGATGTTCGCTGAAATTTTCAAAAATTTTTGTAAAAATTTGACTTCAAAAGTTGGCAAAAAATTCTGGGGTATAGATTTTGTCGTGCTGGTTCGAAAAACATGGCATCTTTATGTTCCCGGTCCAAGAGTTAAAAATATTCGTTTTGAAAATAAAAATTTTGAAATCCAAAAAATTGCACTATTTCAGTGGGGGATTCGAGAAAATTCGGTCGGAATTATCTTCTAGAGGTCGAAATCTATAAGAAAATGTGTTTGGATAAATTTCGAAAATTATCGGAATTGACGAAATTTTCAAAAATTAAAAAAAATTGTTTTTGAAAAAGTCGCTAAAAAATTCCCAAAAAATTCGACGTGCTGATTCAAAAACATTGCGTGCTTATGTTTTCACTACAAGATTTCAAAATATTCGGTTTGGAAATAAATTTTTTTTTAATTCCAAAAATTACAATATTTGAGCGATTTTGGAAAAATCGTAGGAGTTATCGAAGAAATGAGGTCGAAATCTATAAGAAAATGTGTTTAGTGAAATATCGAATGTGTTGTCGGAAATTGACCGAAATTAAAAAAAAATTCTAAAAATTTTGTTAAAAAATCTGTGATTTAAAAATATTTTTTTTTTTATAAAAAAAATTGCAATAATTTAGTAGTTCATTCTGGAAAAATGGTTGGAGCTATGGAAGAAATGACATCGAAACTAACTTCTGGAGGTTGAAATCTATAAGGAAATCTCTTTATTAAATTTCGAATATTGTCGGAAATTGGCCGAAATTAAAAAAAAATATTGAAAAATTTTGTTTTTGAAAAAAGTGCCAAAAAATTTCCAAATTTCTGGAGTATAGATTTCGTCGTGCTGATTTCAAAAACAAAGTGTGTTTATTATGTTCCCGGTGAAATATTTAAAAATATTCGGTTTGAAAATAAAGAATTTTTGAAATTCAAAAAATTGTAAGATTTAAGTGGACGATTTTGAAAAAAAGGAAGAAGTTATCAAAGAATTGGGTTTGAAACTGACTTCCGGAGGTCGAAATCTATAAGGAAATCTCTTTAGTTAAATTTCGAATATTGTTGAAAATTGGACAAAAATTGTGAGGTATAGGTTTAAGAATATTCGGTTTGAAAATAAAAAAATTTCTGAAATCCAAAAAATTGCACATTTCAGTGAGGGATTCAGGAAAAATGGTAGGAACTATCGAAGAAATGAGATCGAAACTAACTTTTGGAAGTCGAAAACTATAAGAAAGGTTTTTAGTTCAATTTCGAATGTTGTTGGAAATTGGCCGAAATTTTAAAAAATTTAGCTTTTGAAAAAATTGGCAAAAAATTCCCAAAAATTTCGGAGGTCGAAATCTATAAGAATATCTCTTTAATTTTGTTACTTTTCAAATATTGAAGGATATTCGCCGAAATTTCCAGAAAATTTTTCAAAAATTTTGCTTCAAAAGTTGGTAAAAATTTCCAAAAAATATTTTGTCGTGCTAATTCCAAAAACATGGCATGTTTATGTTCCCGGTCCAGGAGTTAAAATATTCGGTTTGAAAAAAAAAAAAATTGAAATCCAAGGAAATGCACAATTTCAGTGGGGGATTCTGGAAAAATGGTAGGAGATATCGAAAAAATTCCGTCGAAATTAACTTCTGGAGGTCGAAATCCATAAGAAAATGTCGTTAGTTTAATTTTGAATATTGTCGGAAATTGGCTGAAATTTTCAAAAAAAATTTGAAAAATTTGACAAAAAATTCCTAAAAAATTCTGGGATATAGATTACGTTATACTGATTCGAAAAAGATGTTTCGCTGTAAGATTTAAAAATACGTATTCGATTTGAAATTAAAAAGAATTTTGAATCCAAAAAATTGCACTATTTCGGTGAGGGTTTAAAAATGGTAAGAGCTATCGCAGAAATGATGTCGAAAATAACTTCTGGAGGTCGAAATGTATAAGAAAATGTCTTTAGTTCAATTTCGAATATTGTCGGAAATTGGCCGAAATTAAAAAAAAAAAATAGGAAAATTTTGCTTTTGAAAAAATTGCCAAAAAATTTCCAAAAAATTTTGGGATATAGATTTCGTCGTACTGATTCCAAAAAGTTCCGCTGTAAGATTTTAAAAATATTAGATTTGAAAATAAAAAAAAAAAATAAATAAATCCAAAAAATTGAACTATTTCAATGGGTGTTTAGAAATGGTAGGAACTATCGAAAAAATGATGTGGAAACTAACTTTTGGAGGTCGAAATCTATAAGAAAATGTCTTTAGTTGAGTTAAATTTCGAATACTGTAGGATATTCGCCAGGATTTCCAAAAAATTTTTGAGAAATTTGACTTCAAAAGTTGGCAAAAATTTACAAAAAATCCTGAGGTATCGAATTTGTCGTGCTGATTCCACAAATTTGGTATGTTTATGTTCCGGGTCCAAGAGTAAAAAATATTCGCTTTGATAATAAATCCAAAAAGTTGCACAATTTCAGTGGGAAAATGATAGGAGATATCGAAAAAATTCGGTCCTAGTTAACTTCTAGAGGTGGAAATCTATAAGAAAATGTCTTTGGTTCAATTTTGAAAGTTGTCGGAAATTGGCTGAAATTTTGAAAAATTTTGCTTTTCAAAAAGTTGTCAAAAAAATCCCAAAAAATTCTGGGATATAGATTTCGTTATACTGATTCCAAAAAGATGTTCCGCTGTAAGATTTAAAAATATTCCATTTGAACATAAAAAAAAATCCAAAATGTCTTTGGTTCAATTTCGAATATTGCATGATTTGTCCAAAATTTTCAAAAATTATTTAAAAAATTTGCTTTGAAAAAGTTGGCAAAAAATTCCCAAAAAATTCTGGGATGTAGATTTCGTCGTACTGATTCCAAAAACATGTTCCGCTGCAAAATTTAAAAATATTAGGTTTGAAAATATATTTTTTTCAAATTTAAAAAATTGTAAAACTTCAGGGGGCCATTCTGGAAAAAACGAGCTATCAAAGAAATGGGGTTCAAACCAAGTTTCGGAGGTCGAAATCAATAAGAAAATGTCTTTAGTTTAGTTACATTTCGAATATTGTAGGATATTCGCCGAAATTTTCAGAAAATTTTTCAAAAATTTGACTTCAAAAGTTGTTAAAAATCCAAAAAATGTTGAGGCATTGATTTTGTCGCGCTAATTCCAAAAACATGGTATGTTCATGTTCCCGGTCCAAGGATTAAAAATATTCGTTTTGAAAATAAACAAATTTTTGTAATCCAAAAAAGTGCACTATTTTAGTGGCGGATTCTGGAAAAATAGTAGAAGATATCGAAAAAATTCCTTCGAAATTAACTTCTAGAGGTCGAAGTCTATATGAAAATGTCTTTTGTTCAATTTTGAATATTTTCGGAAATTGGCCGAAATTTTAAAAAAATTGTGAAAAATTTTGCTTTTACAAAAGTTGACAAAAAATTTCCAAAAAATTCTAGGATATAGATTTTAGTTTTACTGATTTCAAAAATATGTTCCGCTGTAAGATTTAATAATATTCGATTTGAAAATAAAAAAAAAATCAAATTCAAAAAATTGCACCATTTCGGTGGGGGTTCAAAAACGCTAGGAGCTATCGAAGAAATGATGTCGGAACTAACATTTGGGAAGTCGAAATCTATAGGAAAATGTGTGGGTCAATTTCGAATATTTTATGAATTTTCAAAAATATTTTAAAATTTTGCTTTGAAGAAGTTGACAAAAAATTCTGGGATGTAGATTTCGTCGTACTGATTCCAAAAACATGTTCCGCTGCAAAATTTAAAAATATTAGGTTTGAAAATATATTTTTTTTAAATCCAAAAAAAAAAACTTCAGGGGGCTATTCTGGAAAAAAAGTAGCTATCAAAGAAATGGGGTTCAAACCAAGTTCGGAGATCGGAATCTATAAGAAAATGTCTTTAGTTTAGTTACATTTCGAATATTGTAGGATATTCGCCGAAATTTCCAGAAAATTTTTCAAAAATTTGACTTCAAAAGTTGGTAAAAATTTCCAAAAAATTCTGAGGTATTGATTTTGTCGCGCTAATTCCAAAAACATGGCAAGGGTTAAAAATATTCGTTTTGAAAATAAAAAAATTTTTGAAATCCAAAAAATTGCACTATTTTAGTGGGGGATTCTGGAAAAATGGTAGGAAATATCGAAAAAAATTCCGTCGAAATTAACTTCTAGAGGTCGAAGTCTATATGAAAATGTCTTTTGTTCAATTTTGAATATTGTCGGATATTGGCCGAAATTATCAAAAAAATTCTGAAAAATTTTGCTTTTACAAATGTTGGCAAAAAAAATTCCAAAAAATTCTGGGAAATAGAGTTCGTTATGCTGTTTTTTTTTTGAAAAAGTTGCACTATTTCAGTGGGGGATTCTGGAAAAATGGTAGCAGATATCGAAAAAATTAGGTCGAATTTAACTTCTAGAGGTCGAAATCTATAAGAAAATTTCGATTCCAATTTTGAATATTGTTGGGAATTGGCTGAAATTTTGAAAAAAATTTTGGTTTTTTAAAAAGTTGCCAAAAAATTCCCAAAAAATTTCGTTATACTGATTCCAAAAAGATGTACCGCTGTAAGATTTAAAAATATTCGATATGAAAGTAAAAAAAAAATTAAATCCAAAAAATTGCACTATTTCAGTGGGGGTCTAAAAATGGTAAATTATGTCGAAACTAAATTTTGGAGGTCGAAATCTATAAGAAAATCCTTTTAGTTTAGTTACATTTCAAATATTGTAGGATATTTGCCGGAATTTACAAAAAAAAAAAATCAAAAATTTGACTTAAAGTAGGCAAAAATGTCCAAAAAATTCTGGAGTATAAATTTTGTCGTGGTAATTCCAAAAACATGGCATGTTTATGTTCCCTGTCCAAGAGTTAACAATATTCGCTTCGAAAATAAAAAAAAATTGAAATAAGTTGCACCATTTCAGTGGGAGATTCTGGAAAAATGGTAACAGATATCTAAAAAATTAGGTCGAAATTAACTTCCAGGGGTGGAAATCTATAAGAAAATGTCTTTAGTTCAATTTTGAATATTGTCGGTAATTGGCCGATATTCTCAAAAAATTTTGGTTTTGAAAAAGTTGCCAAAAAATTTCCCAAAAATTCTGGGATTTGAATTTCGTTATACTGATTCCAAAAAGATGTTGCTCTGTAAGAATGAAAAATATTCGATTTGAAAATAAAAAAAATCGGAATCCAAAAATTTGCACTATTTCAGTGGGGGTTTAAAAATGGCAAATGATGTCGAAACTAACTTCTGGAGGTCGAAATTTATAAGAAAATGTCGTTAGCTCATTTCGAATTTTCTCGGAAATTTTTCTAAACTTTTTTTTTAATTTCGGCCAAATTAAAAAAAAAGTTTAGAAAAATTCTGCTTTTGAAAAAATTGCCAAGAAATTTCCAAAAAATTATGCAGTGTAGATTTCGTTGAGCTGATGCCAAAAACAGCGTGTTTGTTATGTTCCCGGTGCAAGATTTAAAAATATTCGCTTTGAAAATAAAGAATTTTTGAAATTCAAAAAATTGCAGTATTTCAGTGGGGGATTCTGGAAAAATGGTAGTAGGTATTGAAGAAATGAAGTCGAGCTCTATAAGAAAATGTCTTTAGTTCAGTTTCCAATATTGTAGGAGTTTGTTTGAAATCATCAAAAAAATTTTGAAAAATTTTGGTTGTGGAAAAGTTGGCAAAAATTAAAAAAAAATTCTAGAAAATATAGATTTCACTGTGCTGATTCCAAAAACATACTCCTGCAAGATTTTAAAATATTTCGTTTGGGAAAATAATTGTTTTTAAATTCAAAAATGCAATATTTTATTGAGCGATTCTGCAAAAAATGCCAACGATAAAATGAGATCGAAACTTTAGCTTTTGGAGGTCGAAATCTATAGGAAAATGCTTTTGGTTAAATTTGGAAAATCGTTGGGAACTGGACGAAATTTTCAAAATTTTTTTGAAAAATTTCGCTTTGGAAAGAATTGCGGAAAAAATTTCCAAAAAATTCTGGGATATAAATTTCGTTATAGTGATTCCAAGAAGCTGCAAAACATTAGGTTTGAAAATATTTTGGCAAAATTTTGATGGAGGGGAGATAATAAAAAATTTTCTTCTGAAAAATGGTTGAGTTTAAAAAAAAATACCGAGTGAACGTTATTTAAATTTTATAAAATAACATACTCCATTCTTTTTGTACTTGTGGTTTATGAATCCGTGCTAAGATTTTACCCTAGACATCCAGATCAAAAAAAAATCAGAATTGTTTTCAGCCGTTCCTTCCAATTATTTCACGAACTAAGTAACAACACTTACTCAGTATAACCTTCACATTCTCAATCACCGAAATCGAATTTCAAACACTTCACCCAACCCAAAATAAATAAATCGTCGCCGCACCACCAACCGAATTAAAATTCCCTCTATTTTAGTTTCCGCCTAAACGCAAAACCATTTATCAAACTGACTCAAATAATCAAACACTGACTTTCACATTCCCCAATTATTTATCCGATCTAAATTTACTCCAGATGTCAAACGAAAAAATACCTCAAAGACCTCCCCTCGGTCAGTGTGATAGTCCCATTCCACAACGAGCACTGGACAACCCTACTCAGAACGGCTTACAGCGTAGTAAATAGATCACCGCCCCACTTGCTCAAAGAAGTAATTTTAGTAGACGACTTTAGCTCGAAAGGTAACTTAGTGTCTTAACTTAAGCCAAACTAACCCGACTTTGCAGAATTCAGTAAGAAACCTTTAGACGATTACTTAGCCGCTAACTTAACAAAAGTGCGAACGATACACCTACCGGAGCGCAGCGGCCTGATCCGGGCACGCCTGGCCGGTGCGAAAGAAGCAACGGCCGACGTTTTGGTGTTCTTGGACTCGCACACGGAAGCGAACATCAATTGGTTGCCACCGCTTCTAGGTTGGTAAAGTTTTGTCGCTGTGTGTAGTTGCAAGATTTTTTCTAGAGCCGATCGCCCAGGACTATAGGACGTGCGTTTGTCCGTTTATTGATGTCATACAGTACGAAACGTTTGAGTATCGGGCGCAGGATGAGGGGGCACGCGGCGCTTTCGATTGGGAGTTTTTTTACAAGAGGTTGCCTTTATTACCGGAAGACTTGGAGCATCCAACTGAACCCTTCAAGTGATTAAAAACTTCTCAATTTTTGTATTTTCGTTTCAATATTGTGATCACAGGAGTCCTGTTATGGCTGGGGGGTTGTTCGCCATCAGCAGTCGTTTTTTCTGGGAGCTGGGGGGGTACGACGAAGGTTTGGACATCTGGGGGGGCGAACAATACGAGTTGAGTTTCAAAATATGGCAATGTGGAGGCCAAATGGTGGATGCACCTTGTTCCAGAGTGGGTCACATTTATCGGAAGTTCGCGCCTTTCCCTAATCCCGGAAAGGGTGATTTTGTGGGGAGAGTAAGTGTTTGGATAGCGTGACGAAAGTACTTTATTTTGTGTGTAGAATTACAGACGGGTGGCTGAAGTGTGGATGGACGAATACGCTGAGTATTTATATAGAAGACGCCCCCACTACAGAAACATCGATCCCGGTGACTTAAGTAAACAAAAGGGGTTAAGGAAGGACTTAAATTGTAAACCGTTTAAGTGGTTCATGGAGAAAGTCGCTTTTGATTTACCGTTGAAGTATCCACCTGTGGAACCGGGAGACTTTGGAATGGGAGAAGTACGTGCGTTGCTAGTCAGTCGGTATAAATTTTAACCAATTTTCGTAGATTCGGAATATAGGGGCTCCGGAATTGTGCGTCGATTCGGGTCATAAAGACCGCGACCAGGTTGTAGCAGTGTCTGAATGCGTCAAAGGTACCGGTAAAAGCGCCGAGCAAAATTTTACCCTAACCTGGCACAAAGATATCAGGGTCAAAGGCAAAACTTTGTGTTTTGACGTATCAGACCCTAATGATAAAGCAGACGTTACGCTTTATCCTTGTCACGGCTCGCAAGGAAATCAGTACTGGCGGTACGACGTGGTAAGTCTTATGTCACGTGAATGTAAGGGTCACAATCGACTGTATTGTCGTAGGAGAAACAGTGGTTCTTGCACGGTGGTAACCCCAGGTGTCTCGACTGCGACCCCGGCCAAAAAAGACTATACGTAACGAAGTGCGACGACCAATCGAAAACACAAAAGTGGCGATTAGAAAATGTGAATTTGACGATGATCGCCGACTGGGAAAATGTGGGGGTCAAGCTATAGGTACTTAATTGATGTGCATTTACCTACTCGAACGGGTTTCTAATTTATTAAAAGTATCAAAACCCAAGTAGGTGTAAAATAGAGTAAGTCCTAAGTGCAGTATTGAAAGTCTTTTAGGACTTTAAACTAAGTATCAGTGTTTTCCCTTTGACGCTGCTGTGATATTTAGCGTTTATTTTATACAATAAATTGTTGCCATATTGAAGTCATTTAAATTTGATAACTTTTATAGGCAGTTGGAATTCTTTGTAGTATCTTGGTTGAATCAATAAAATGTCCACGTAAAATCGTAAATCGTTTGATTTTTGAAAATCACCACTCGAGTCGGTATTGCAGAAACCTGTGCACCTGTCAACCGACTGTGAATGAAATGTCATTGTCAAGACCGGCTCTGATTGTTCATAATTGTGTGACAAGTGTTTTTAACCACCGTTTCGCGACTTTTCTCCACCGAAGTCTGGCGAATTTTCCCAAAATGAGTGAAAACGTGGAAAAGCTCATCCAACACCTGGCTCCACCTCTGACCAGCGACAAACACAAGGGCCAAGCCGGCCGGATAGGGGTTTTCGGTGGCAGTTTGGAGTACACCGGTGAGTCGTTCCCAGATGGCGCCCCTCGTCGCACCCCACGTCCCATCAAATATTAAAAGCGCGCCTGATTCAATTATCAATGTTTTTTTTAATTGATCCAGAAACGCTTTGCGTGTTCTCGGTTTTCCTCATTTGACTAATTTACAAAGCCCGCCTTTTTTATGTTTATATCAACCCAATAAAAAATCCTATTTGTGTAACGAACGACCCATTATCTCTTAATGCATCCGAGACAATGAAAAGGGTCGCCACGTAAAAACAGGAGCATGTTCGATGGCCCGTTTTTATTCGTTCGCCCGTTAAAACATTTAATTTACCCGCGGAAAATATGGTTTTTGCATGGTTTAATTGTTTACGACGTACGCTGTCTCCGGTTCCGGTGCGCAGTTTTTTGCTGAGGCGCTCCGACGCGCTTCAAGAGAAATTTGTTTCAGGATCAAATATTTATTAAAGCGCTAAGGTTTTTTCTAATGTGTAAACGTGCCGGATTTCTATTTATTTACGACGAAATTAATTTCTTCGGGGTAGGGCGCATTGTTAATTCATTGAGTTTTATTTTATCTGGGTGTGAGGGTTGTCGAGGGATAAGTGTGTTTAAGAGAACGGGGGTTAATAGAGATTCAATTTAGTTTAATGTTTTACAAGGGGACGATTATTTCATTTTATATTACAGTTATGTTACATTTATGTAAGAGCGCTGCGGGATTATGGTAAACGTTATCTGAAATGATAAACAGAGTTCCTTGATGTTGCATAAAAGTTAGATGGTTTATTGTACGTTGGGAAACAAAATGGCGGAATGTGTTCTCGGGTGTGTGTATATTGTTTATTAACATTTGTGGCATTATTAACACAAGCACAGCCCACGCTGATCCATTCTCAGCTTTTATATATTCGTGTTATTATTATTTCATAAGTGAATATTTGTTTATAAAATTGTGTAGGCAGACGAGTTTGCTAGTATTCGATTAAATTCGAAAATGCGTAAATTTTAAATTCGCGATATTAATAAATCAAAAAAAGAAATACGCATTTTTGATTTTTATTAAATAACTTGTTGTTTAAATATCTTTAGGAATTTTGATATTGTTAATATCTTTAGAATCTTTAGGATTTTTTAAGATTTGGAGTTTTTGAAATCTTTGTGATTTAAATATCTTCATTTGATTCTTTAAAAGATCTATTTAGGTCTTTAGCGTCTTTAGAATCTTTTACCTTTCTGAGAACTTTAAGACTTTTTTAAGATATCTTTTGGGTATTTACTATCTTCCGCCTTTAGAAATTTAAAATCTTAAGGATAGTTCCAGGATCTTTGAATCTTTAGAATCTTTGAATTCTTAGGATGCGCAGGGTTTTATAACGTTTAGGATTTTTGTAATTTTTCAGATAGTTTAGGACTTTAGGATCCCTTTTGTTTAAATATCTTCAGGAATTTTGGAATTGTTAATATCTTTAGAGTCTGTAAGATGTTTAGGATTATTCTTATTTTCAAGATATTTAAAAAATCTATGTATGATCTTAAAGATTTTTAGGGTCTTTCGAACTTTCAGTATTTCAAGTATTTCTGGACTCTTCACGATTTCTAGGATCCAAGAATCTTTTATATTGTTGGGGATTTAAGATACTTTTAAGGTTTCTTATTAGGGTCTTTAATATTTTGCAATTTACATATGATGATATTTCCAGATATTTGAATCTTTAGAATCTTGGATCTTTACTAACTTCCCAGGCTTTTTAGGAGCTTAAAATCTTCAGGATATTTTTAGGATCTTCCAATCTTTAGAATCTTCGAAAACTTTCATAACTTTATAGATTTTAGAAATTTTAAAGCCGTTTTAATCTTTAGTATCTTTAGGATTTTTATGATTTTTTAAGATTTTGAGTTTTTGAAATCTTTGTGACTTAAATACTCGTATCTTCATTTGATATTGATAATATCTTTAGAATCTTCAGGATGTTTATGATCTTTAAAGTCTTTAGGGTCTTCAGTATATCACGTACTTTTGGGAACTTTACGATACTTTTAAGGATTTTATTAGGATCTTAAAAGTTTGCTTTAGAATTTACAAGATCTTTTGGATATTTACTATCTTCCTAGGCTTTTTAGGAGTTTCAGTCTTTAGAATCTTCGAATATTTTCATAACCTTATAGATTTTACAACATTTAAAGCCGTTTTAATATTTAGAATCTTTCGGATTTTTTAAGATTTGGAGTTTTTGAAATCTTTATTATTTAAATATCTTCATTTGACATTGTTAATATCTTTAGAATCTCTAGAATGTCTAAGATCTTCATTATCTTCAAGATCTTTAAAAGATCTATTTAGGTCTTTGGCGTCTTTTGAATCTTTTACCTTTCTGGGAACTTTAAGATATTTTTAAGATATATTTTGGGTATTTACTGTTTTTTACCTTTAGAAATTTAAAATCGTAAGTATATTTCCAGGATCTTTGAATTCTTTGGTTTTAAGTTTTACGATATGTAGGATTTTATAATGTTTAGGATTTTTGTAATTTTTCAGATATTTTAGGACGTTAGGATCCTTTTTGGTTTAAATATCTTCAGGAATCGGAAAATTGAAGAATCGAATAACTGAAAAATCGAGTAATTAAAAAACTGAAAAGTCGAAAAATTTAAAAGCGAGAAATTGAATCCGAAACTTAAAAAAATTTAAAGACAACATATGGAAAAACTCTCAAATCCAGAAAATGGAAAATTTGCAAAATTGAAGTGTCGAAAAATTGAAAAATCGAAAACTTCAGGAGTCTGGAAATCGAAAAATCCAAAAAATTTAAAGAATCGAAAAACCCAGATGTCGAGAAAACGGAAAATCACAAAATCGTATAATCAAGCAATTGAAAAAACGAAAAATTTTAAAAACCCAAGAACGGAAAAGCCGAACCATCAAAAAATTAAAAAAATACAATATCAAAAAATTGGCAAATCCAGAAAATGAAAATTTTCCAAAATTGAAATGTTGAAAAACTGAAACGAAAACTTAAAAAAAGTCGGGACATCGAAAAAATTGTAAAATCGAAAAAATCCAGATGTCAAAAAATTTAAATATTAGAGAACTTAAAAAATTGGGAAATCGAAATATGAAATAATTTTAAAAATCAAAAATTTGAAAACTCGCAAGTCAAAATTTAAAGACAACGAAAAAACGAAAAATCGAAAAACTGAAAAATCGAGAAATTGAGAACCTCCACAACTGAAATGTCGAAAAATTGAAAAATCGAAAACCCGAAAAGTGGAAAATTTTTTAAAAATCTAAAAATTGAAAACACGTAAAATCTAAAAAATCGAAAAATTGGAAAATGGGAAAATGAAAAATCTGAAAATCCAGAACTTGAAAAATCCAAAATTTAAGAATGAAAAATCAGAAAATTGAAGAATCGAATAACTGAAAAATCGAGTAATTAAAAAACTGAAAAGTCGAAAAATTTAAAAGCGGGAAATGGAATCCGAAACATCAAAAAGTTTAAAAATAAAATATGGAAAAACTGGCAAATGCAGAAAATGGAAAATTTCCAAAATTGAAATGTCGAGAAACTGAAAAATCGAAAAATCCAAAACTCGATAAATCCAAAATTTAAGAATGAAAAATCAGAAAATTGAAGAATCGAATAACTGAAAAATCGAGAAACTAAAAAACTGAAAAGTCGAAAAACGGAAAAATCGAAAACTTTAGAAGACGGGAAATCGAAAAATCCAAAAAAAGTAAAAAATCGAAAAACCCAGATGTCGAGAAAACGAAAAATTACAAAATCGTATAATGAAGCAATAAAAAAAACGAAAAATTTTAAAAATCCAAAAACTGAAAAATCTAAAAATAAAAAAAACGAGAAATCGCAAAATCCAAAATTTAAAAATAAGGAAAAAACCAAAAATCTAAAAACTGAAATCGAGAAATTGGGAGATTCCAAAACTGAAATGACGAAAAATTGGTGAATCGTAGAACTGAAAAACTGAAACATCGAAAATTTGGAAAATCGAAAATACGACTAGTCAAAAATTTAAAAAATCAAACAACTGAAAAGCTGTGAAATCTAGAACTGAGAAGTCAAAAAATCGAAAGATCGTCAAATCGAAACACCAAAAAATTGAAAAAATAAAATATCGAAAAATTGGCAAATCCAGAAATCGAAAATTTTCCAAAATTGAAATGTTGAAAAACTGAGAAATCCAACACTTTAAGATTCCAAAAATCGAAAACCCAGATGTGGAAAAACGAAAATCAAAAAATTGAAATATTAATAAATGAAAAAATTGGGAAATCGAAACATCAAAAAATCGTATAATCAAGAAATTGAAAAAACGAAAAATCGCAAACGTCGAAATTTAACAACAACGAAAAAACTGAAAAATCGAGAAATTGAGAACTTCCAAAAATGAAACATCGAAAAATCGGGAACTCGAAAAACCCAAAATTTAAGAATGAAAAATAAAAAATTGAAGAATGAAATAACTAGAAATTGAAAAGCTGAAAAGTCGAAAAATGGAAACATAGGGAAATTGAATAGCCCAAAATAGAAAAATCGCAAGTTGAATATTGATAAATTGAAAAATTGAAAACAAAAAAAATGTTTAAATTGAAAAGTCGAGAACTTTATCAAACGAAAAATCGAAGTCGAGAAAACAGAAAATGGAACATTCGAAAAAATGAAAAGCCGAAAAATTTAAAGAGGAAAAATTGAAAATTTTTTAAATTTTAAAAATCGAAAACTTGAAAATCCAAAAAAATCTAAAACCGAGAACTCGAAACATCGAAATATCGAGAAATCGAAAAATCTAACATTTTAAAAATTGAAAAATTAAAATCCATATCGAAAAATTGAAGAATCGAAGAAATGAAATATCGAAATGTTAAAAAGTCGAAAAATCGAAAAATTGAAAAACAGAAATATTGAAAATTTTTAAAAGTGAAATATCAAACAATTGAAAAATCGAAAAAAAATGGAAAAATCGGAAACTCGAAAAATCAAGGAGAATCAATGAAAAATTGAAGAATGAAAAGATGAAAAACCGATGCATCGAGAAACGAAATATTAAAAGATCGAGAAATCGAAAAGTCAAGAAGTCGAAAAATTGAAAAATTGAAAAATCGAAATAACCCAAGATAGAAAAATCGAAAAATTGTAAAACTGAAACAGCGGAACATCGATTAGTTGAGAAATCGAGAAATAACAGAATTTTAAAAATCAAAATATTGAAAAACCGGAAAATCGAACCAGAAACATAAAAAAATTCAAAATCTATGATATCGAAAAATTGGCAAATCTAGAAAATGAAGTCGTTCCAAGATTGAAATATTGAAAACCTGAGAAATCGAAACCTTTAAAAATCGGGAAATCGAAGAATGGAAAAAATTTAAAAATTCAAACAATTTAAAAATCGAAAAACCCAGATGTGGAAAAAACGAAAATAAAAAAATTGAAATATTAAAAAATGAAAAAATTGGGAAATCGAAATATCAAAAAATCGTATAATCAAGAAATTGAAAAAACGAAAAATCGCAAACGTCGAAATTTAACAACGAAAAAACTGAAAAATCGAGAAATTGAGAACTTCCAAAACTGAAATATCGAAAAATCGGGAACTCAAAAATCCAAAATTTAAAAATGAAAAATAAAAAAATTGAGGAATCAAATAACTAAAAATTGAGAAATTGAAAAGCTGAAAAGTCAAATATTGATAAATTGATAAATTTAAAACAAAAAAATGTTTAAATTGAAAAATCGAGAAACTGATCAAACGAAACATCGAAATCGGGAAAACAGAAGATGGAACATTCGAAAAAATGAAAATACCGAAAAATTTATAGAGGATAAATTGAAAACTTTTTAAATTTTAAAAATCGAAAACTTGAAAATCCAAAAAAATCCAAAACCGAGAAGTCGAAACATCGAAAGATCGAGAAATCGAAAAATCTAAAATTTTAAAATTGAAAAATTAAAATCCATATCGAAAAATTGAAGAATCGAAGAATTGAAAAATCGAAATGTCAAAAAATCGAAAAATCGAAAAATTAAAAAACAGAAATATTGAAAATTCTCAAAAGTGAAATATCGAATAATTGATAAATCGAAAAAAAATGGAAAAACCGAAAAATTGAAAAATCGAGAAATCGAAACATCAAAAAATCAAAAAATTTAAAAATCGAAAAAGTAGACATTCGAGAAACCAAGAAATCGAAAACTCGAAAAATCGATGAATTGGAGAATCAATGAAAAATTGAGGAATGAAAAGATGAAACACTGATGCATCGAGAAACGAAATATTAAAATATCGAGAAATCGAAAAGTCAAGAAGTCGAAAAATTGAAAAATTGAAAAATCGAAATAACGCAAGATAGAAAAATCGAAAAATTGTAAAACTGAAACAGCGGAATATCGATTAGTTGATAAATCGAGAAATAACAGAATTTTAAAAATCGAAATATTGAAAAACCGAAAAATCGAACCAGAAACATTAAAAAATTTAAAAACTATAATATCGAAAATTTGGCAAATCCAGAAAATGAAGTCGTTCCAAGATTGAAATATTGAAAACTTAAGAAATTGAAACCTTCAAAAATCGGGAAATCGAAGAAAGGAAAAAATCAAACAATTGAAAAACCCAGATGTAGACACGAAAAATCGAAAAATTGAAATATAAAAAAATGAAAAAATTGGGAAATCGAGACATCAAAAAATCCTATAATAATCGAAAAATTGAAAAAATCGAAAAATTGAAAAACCATAAAATCAAAAAAACGGGAAATCGTAAAAATCCAAAATTTTGAAACAACCAAAAACTCAAAAATCTAAAAACCAAAAATATACAAAAAATCGAAACACTGAAACCCCAAACATTTTCAAAATCGAGAAACTGAAAAGCCCTAAATAAAAAAATTGGGAAATTGAATAGTCCAAAATAGAAAAGATGGAAAAATTTTAAATAAAAAATCGAGAAACTGATCAAACGAAATATCGAAACATCGAAATCTCGATAAATCGAGAAAACACAAGATTGAACATTTGAAAAAATGAAAAACCGAAAAATTTAGAAAGGAAAAAATTGGAAAATTTAAAAATTTCATAAATCGAAAATTTGAAAAGCCAAAAAATCTAAAACCAAGAAGTCGAAACATCGAAAGATCAAAAAATCAAAAAATCGAAGAAAGGAAGTGCATATTCGTAATCTTGAGAAAACTTTACACGATTTTGACGTTTTTCTGGATGATTATGGTCAATTTTAAGTTTTTGATGAAAATGGTGGATGAGCCGGGAAAATAAATCAATTAAAAAAAATTAACATCAAAAACGTGTAGGAATTTTTTCTTGAACTAATACACATTAACCAAAAAGTTGGTTTTCTTTAATTATAGTTATGTCTAAAGTGGCACTAATTTCAATCGAGATAAATTTCTTTTTTTCAATGAATCCGTAATTTTTTTAATATAAAGTCTTTTAGTCACTGATTTGAGAAAATACGACGAAAGTAGGCTCATATTGTTGATCTCGAGAAAATTCCACACGGGTTTCTGGTTTATTTGATCAATTTCATTTTTTTTGTAATGAAAATGTTGGAAGCGCCGAGAAAATAAAAGATACCGCTAGAATTGCGTAATAGATTGTGCTTTAGGAGCGAGGAAAGTTGTGAATCTGGAGCTGAAGACCAACGTTCTTTAATTTTCATCGGAGAAAAGTCGCGGTAACATTTACTTCAGAATAAATTTTTTATATTTTTTTGTCGAATTTCCCTGACATTCCATAGAAAGAACAGTGTTTCATATTTTGTCTTTTTCTCCTTAATATACGCAACAAGAAACGAATGAAAAGGTCATCACACTTAAGGTAGGGTGGGTGGGCGGGGCTTATATTGTGTCCTTTTTCTTAATTTCTTTGGCTTTTTTTTACTCAATACACATGGTTTTCTTTGAATAACACGATTACTTAAGAACATATTTCACATGTTAGTTTTTTGTAAAACATAAGGATTTTGTAATTAAGCTCCGCCCCAGGGCTCACGACGAATGAAAATATGGTCATCATAATTGAGATAGGGTGAGTGGGCGGGGCTTATACAGGGTGAGTGTTATAATAACGGGACCCTGACCAATTTTTAATGCAACACAACAAACATCTATCAGTTATTGTTAGATTCCAAAATAAAACATACGTTTTTAGGATTAAAGTAGGTACTCTCCTTACTAGTTTCCACTACCACCATCAACGTTATGGGGCTCTAGAACCGGTAACGTGACCTCGTCACTCGTCGAAAACTGCCCCAATTCTAGAAAATCCCGTTCTCTCACCATCCACCCTGAATAAATCAAACAGAAGCCCCTTTGAGCGTCCACTCTCCCGTTAATTTCCCTCCCAACTAACCTAAAAGCGCAGCCGAGGTGCCAACTTCCAACTTGCAAACACTTCATCAGCAGTCGCCTTTCGGCGTCTCCCCCGCGAATACCGCCTGTTTCGCGATGTAATTAGTCCAGAATATTTGAGCCCGGACTCCGGATCGAACTTTTCGCCTCTCCGCTAAAACAACTTCGAAATGTAATTTTCCAGGTGCACCGTACTTCGCTGCAATCACCTCGCTCAAAGTCGGGGCCGATTTGAGCTACGTTTTTTGCGCCAAGGAGGCGGCGACGGTGATCAAGTCGTACAGCCCGGAGCTGATCGTCCACCCTCTGCTGGACGTCCCCGGCGCGGCGGCCAAGATCGAGCCCTGGCTGGACAGACTGCACGTCGTGCTCGTGGGGCCGGGGCTGGGCCGGGAGGAGGAGACTTTCAAGGTAGTGAATGGGGCCGAAATTATTGTCTTGCAGTAATGCAAGAGGGAGGAGAACGAGGGAGAAGTTTGTTTGGGTTCTTTGAATCGACTTGGCGGAACGAACGGGAATGGCTAAGAGGGCGGTTTTGTTGCGACAAAAAGTCGATTCGATGGCTGGGAGGGCTCCGGGGCGGTTTGGGAAGCTTTTCCGAATTGGGGTTGTAGGGTCGTATGGGGCTTATTATCCGGGGGAAAATCGTTCGAGTATTCATAACGGAGTCGGGGTAATTTTATTTGAAAAACGTTTCAAAATTCATGATTGAATTAATGGCTCGAAAGAAATTATAATTTGCTTCAAAAGTTTCGATATTTGGTAGTTTTTGTTTTTTGAATAAAATAAATTTCGGATTTTGGAGCCGATTTAATTTTGTTTCTTGGCTATTAACTCATTTTTCTTACTTAGTTAAAAACTGTGAGGACAATTAATGTAGATTTAAACCAAGATAAATTATTTTCATGGTTCAGCTTTTTAAAAAAATTAATAGCGTTCTTTCAAAATCTTGAAACTAGAACAAAATTGCCAAACAATGGTAAATTTGAACCTAGATAATTTCAAAAATTCGTATTTCACACCGAATTTTCCGAAAATATTACGCTGTTACCATAAACATGCTATATTTTTGGAATCAGCACGTCGGGATATAATGTCAATTTTTTCAGAATTTTTAGACAACTTTTTCAAAAATGAAATTTTACACTATTGTAGTACTTGCCAAATAATCTACCCTCTAAGAAAATAAAAGGCACGGTGCCAGGCTAGTATTTGGCAAAATAAGACTCATTTTGACAAATCACCTACTCTTCTAAGAAAAGGCACTGGCCCCGCCCACCCACCCTTTGTTTTCTTAGAAGAGTAGGTCATCTGCCAAAATCAGTCTTATCTTGGCAAGGATGAGACTGATTTTTGCAAATAACATATCCTCTAAGAAAATAAGGGTGGGTGGGTGGGGCTAGTACTTGTTAAGATAAGACTGATTTTGGCAGATGGTACTCTTTTAAGAAAATAAAGGGTGGGTGGGCGGGGCTAGTACTTGTTAAGATGAGACTGATTTTGGCAAATGACATATTCTTCTAAGAAAATAAGGGCTGGGTGGGTGGATCTAGTACTTGCTAAAAATAAAAAAAATAAAAATCAAAAAATGACAAATTGAAAAATCGGATAAATGAGAACTCGGACAATTCTACAACTGTTTAATCGGAAAATAAAAACTGAAATATGGAAAAATTGAAAAAAAAAACAAATCTTATAAAATCGAATTCGAAATATTTCCTTTGATAATTTGTTTGACAATTTTGGACTTTTTAATTCCAATCTTTTGATTTTTCAAGTTTATATGTACATACCCGGGACATATGGAATGTAAATAACGCTTTAATCAGGTTGTGCTTTCGTCAGATAACTAAAGCTTTATGGAATTGTAGTTTTTTCGTTGTGAAGTTTGTTTATTTGGTCACCGTCGATGTAATAATCCCTTGTTGTACCACAGTTTCCATTAACGGATTAATCCCTCTTCAATTTTAATAAGAACTGTTACAATTTATAAATATTTTATATTTATAAGAAAGCGAGGGTGGGTGGGCGGAGCTAGTACTTACTTAGATAAGATTGACTTTAGTAAATGACCTACTCTCTAAGGAAATAGTGGGCGGGTAGGGGTGGGTCTAGTAGCTGCCAAGAGGTAAGATTTCTCTTGGCAATGACACCCTCTAAGAATATAGTGGGCGAACGGGTGGGGCTAGTACTTGCTACTATAAGACTAAACAATACTAAGAGTTATCACTAGAATGAAGAGGGGGTGGGTGGGCGGGCTTACTGCTTGTTTATAAAAGACTCTCTAAAAAAAGTTAAACTTAGCCCCGCCCACCCACCCGTTCTCTCATTTATTTTCTTCTGAAATAAGAAACAAATCTTATAACAAATAATACAACAAAAAGGTTATAATTGACGGTTTTTTTACAGCCTAGTTGCTATCAGTTACTTACCACTCCCACTCTGCACGAGAACATATAATAAACCCCGCCCACCCATCCGCTTCCATTTCGGTGATTAATTTTATATAAAAAAAGTACTACGCCAACTGAAGAGAAGAAAAAAAGGACACTTAAAACATGTATAAAATAGTAAATTTTGTAGAAAAATATGGATTTTGCAATTAAACTCCGCCCCTCTATTTGACAACGAATAAAAAATTCATCAAAATCGAGATAGGGGCGGGTGGGTGGGGCTTAATTATTGCCCTCTTTTTCTTAATATATACCTAGTTTCAATAACTCCAAATACCATTTGATATTTTAAGTATGTTCTTATTGGGAGCAGACTGTATGTACTAAGAAAATCGAAGGATAAATCCCACCCACCAGCCCCATCTCAATTGTGATTAATCTTTTTATTCGTCCTGAGGTGGAGAGCGAAGAGAAGACAATTACCCTTTTTTTCGGAAAGAAAGTTTAAGGCATCCAAATTGGAAAATCGGTTCCACTTTCAAAATTTGTGAAGTACTTATTTTACAGAACCCTTTCTTATGTATCTTTAAAATTATTCTTTAAGGCTCTAAAGTTTCTAAAGATTCTGAACATTTCGAAGATGGAAGAATCCAAAAATTCTGGAAACTTTGACGTTACGAAGATTCTGAAGAATACAAAGATTCCAAAGATTTCAAAAATTCCAAAGGTTGAAGATTTTGAATAAAGATACTGAAGATTGTAAATATTCAGAAAATTCTGAAGTTTCAGTGTTTAGAAAATTGAATATTCCAAAAAATTTGAAGACTTCGAAGATTCCGGAAATGATAAAAATTCCAAAATTTACAGAGTTTTTCGAATATATCAAAAATTCCGTGTATTCCGAGAGATACCAGAAATTCCAAAGATTCTAAATATTCCGAGATCCTAGGGATTCTAAGGTTTCTGAAGATTTTGAATATTTCGAAGGCTGAAGATTCCAAAAATTGTGAAAACTGAGGTTACGAAGATTCTGAAGAATACAAAAATTTCAAAGATAATAAAGATTCCAGAGATTCCAGACTTTCCAAATATTCGAAAAAGTTTGAAGATTATGGGGATTTTGAAAGTTCTGAAAATTCCAAAAACTGACAATTCTAAGTTTTCAAAAGCTGAAGATTCCAAAAAATCTGAAGACTTTTAAGATTCCGAAGATTCTAAGAATATAAGAATTCCAAATATTCTAGAATTTCCAGAAAATTCAAAAATTACGGATATTCTGAAACTGTACAGATTTCCGAAATTTTCAAAAATTTTGGACGTTCCAAGCCCCTAGATATACCATAAATTTTAAAGATTCGAAAGTTTCTAGAGATTTTGAAGACTCTGATTGAAGATACTGAAGATTGTAAATATTCGGAAAATTCTGAAGATTCACAGTGTTTGGAAGATTGCAGATTCCAACAAATCTGAAGACTTTGAAGACTCAGAAGATTCTAAATACCATAAAAATTCCAAAAGTTCCAAAGATTTTCGAATATTACAGAAATTCCGTATATTCCCAGATTTCAGAAATTCCAAACATTCTGAATATTCCGAGATTCTAGAGATTCTAAAAATTCTGAACATTTTAAGGTTTCTAAAGATTGTGGATATTTCGAAGGTTGAAGATTTCAAGAAGCCTGAATATTTTGAAGTTACGAAAATTCTGAAGATTACAAAGATTCCAAAGATTCGTTCTTCAAATTTTCGATTTTTCGACTTTTTTATTTTTCGAAATCTCAATTTTCCGATGTTTCGATGATACGATTTTTCAATTTTTCAAATTTTGACGTTTCAAAATTTTCAGTTTTCGATTTGTGAACTAATCTTTTTTTTATTTTCCCATTTCTCGAGTTCTCAACGTTTCGATTTTTTTCATTTCTCCAATTTTTCGATTTTTGAGGTTTTTTCATATTTCAATTTTTCGATTTTTCAACTTTGCTGTTGTACGTTTTCGATTTCTCATTTTTCCATTTTTTTGGATATTTCTTCCAGTTATATGATTTTTCAGTATTTCGATTTCGGATAAATGAGAACTCGGACAATTCTACAACTGTTTAATCGGAAAATAAAAACTGAAATATGGAAAAATTGAAAAAAAAAACAAATCTTATAAAATCGAATTCGAAATATTTCATTTGATAATTTGTTTGACAATTTTGGACTTTTTAATTCCAATCTTTTGATTTTTCAAGTTTTAACTTTGCAATTTTGGAATTTCTTGATTTTTAATTTTTCAAGTTCTCAAGTTAAAATTGTTCCTTTTCACGCTTTGTCATTTTTCAAGTTTGAGCAAAATTACCAAACAAATGTAGTTTTGAACCAAGATAAATTCTTACTTTTGTGGCCGATTTATCTAGTTTATTTTTTCCGTATATAAGCTCGCTTTTTTCGGTTATTGTACAACATACGAGGAAAAAACGTGGAGATTCGTCATTCTGAGAAAATTTCACACAATAATAATTCGATTTATAGTCGATTTGATCAAGTTTACCTTTTTCATAAAAATGGTGGAGGCACCGGGAAAACAATTTAAAAAATAGATTGGTTCAATAATGTTTAAGGAATTTCAACTTGATATCGCGAATTTTAATAGAAATTATAGCCTTCTTTGAAAATCCTGAAATTAGAACAAAATTTCCAAATAATTGTGGATTTGAACCAAAATAAATTCTTACTTTTGTGGCCGATTTATCTAGTTCATTTTTTCCGTACATAGGTTCGCTTTTTTTCGGTTATTGTAAAACATACGAGGAAAAAACGTGGAGATTCGTCATTCTGAGAAAATTTCACACAAGAATGATTCGATTTAAAGTCGATTTGATAAAGTTTACATTTTCATAAAAATGGTGGAGGCGCCGGGATAACAATTTAAAAATTAGATTGTTTCAATAATGTTAAGGAATTTCAACTTGATATCGCGAATTTTAATAGAAATTATAGGCTTCTTTGAAGATCCTGAAATTAGAACAAAATTTC